GGGGTGGTGCTGCTGCTGCTGGGGGTGGTGCTGCTGCTGCTGGGGGTGGTGCTTGGAGGTTGTGCTGCTGCTGCTGCTGCTGCTGTTGCTGCTGCTGCTGCTGCTTGGGGTCCTGCTTGGGGTGCTGTAGTACTGCTGCTGCAGCTGGGGGTCACTCTTGTGCTGCTGTGCTTGCTGCTGCTGCTCGTGTTTGTGGTGTTGTTGCTGCTCCTGGTGGTGGTGTCGCTGCTGCTGCTACTGGTGGTGGTGGTGGTGCTGGTGTCGCTGCTGCTGCTGCTGCTGCTGGAAGGAAGCATTCGGTGCTTCTAGTTGTCGCTGCTGCTGCCGGCGGATCTCGCGCTGCTGCTCCCGTATCTCTCCCGTTGATGCTGCTGCTGCCACCTGACCTGAGAAGCATGAGGCACTCTTGCTGCTGCTGCTGCTGCTGCTGCTGCTGCTGCTGCTGCTGCTGCTGCAGGAGGTGGGCTACGTGCAGGGAATGAACTTCGTGGCTGGAGCTCTTCTTTACCACAGCAACACGACGGTCCACTGGTCCTCTCGTGGTCCACCGGGTTCAGCGATGCGTTTGCTGCAGGAGGACGAGGACCCTGCTGCTGCTGCTGCTGCTGCTGCTGCTGCTGCAGCAGCAGCAGCGGGCGGCGGCTGCGGGGGCCCCCAGGGGGCCCCCAACGCAGCACACTTCACACTCAGGACTCGGGAAAATAGGGTCTTTTGGCTTTTTGTTTCTCTTTTTTATTTTTATGAATTAAGGAGACTTTATCTTCCAGCTCTTCCGGGGGTTTTCGAGCGCTGCGCTGCGCTGCAGCAAATGCTCAGCGTGCAGGCGCCCCAGCTGCTCGAGCACCTCGTCAGCTGCTGCTGCTGCTGCTGCTGCTGCTGCTGTTGTTGGCGCGCTGCTGCTGCTGCTGGGCCTGCTGTTGGCTGCTGCTGCCGTTGCGGCGCTGCTGCGTCGGCTGTAGGGTCTGGGAACGAGGCGCCTGCTGCTCTGAAGCGTGTTCTGCTGCTGCTGCTGCTGCTGCTGCTGCTGCTGCTACTCTCTGTTGCATTTGCTGCTGCGTGTGTGCAGCAATTATGCGGTGTCTCTCTTCCCTTGTTGGCTTCGGATTGGCTGCTGACTCTCTTCGCGTACAGCATTCCCCTTCCCGCCCTTTCCCTTGTCTTCACGTGAGGGTTTAGGGTTTAGGGTTTAGGGTTTAGGGTTTAGGGTGTGGGATATCTTTCGGAAGCTGGGGGCAAGGATCGTGTACTTGAGCCTTTTTAAGTCCTCTCCTTTCCTCGCCGCCAGAGAAAGCAACAACTCAGGGTTTAGGGTTTAGGGTTTAGGGTTTAGGGTTTGCGCGCAGCCAGTTTTTCGAAGAGGGTTGGGTATTTCTTTGCAAGTTGGTTTGCGCTCGCCTGAGGCGAATGGAAGCAGCAATTTTGGAAGCAACAGACATTGTGGAGGTCGTTACCATTGCCAAGGCAAGCTGCTGCTGCTGCTGCTGCTGCTGGGGGTGCTGCTGCTGCTGGGGGTGCTGCTGCTGCTGTGGGTGCTGCTGCTGCTGTGAGTGCTGCTGCTGCTGTGGGTGCTGCTGCTGCTGTGGGTGCTGCTGCTGCTGTGGATGCTGCTGCTGCTGTGGATGCTGCTGCTGTGGGTGCTGCTGCTGCTGCAGCTGCTGTGAGTTCTGCTGCTGCTGCTGCTGCTGTGGGTGCTGTGGCTCACCGCCTTGCTGGAGCGGTGTACTGCTGCTGCGACCAGCTTTGGTGCTGCTGCAAGCCTTCGTTTGCTGCTGCTGCGCTTTCTGCCGGTGCTGCTGCTGCTGCTGCTGCTGCTGCTGGTTGGGGACGACGGCGAGACGGCGCTGCCGACTTTGCTGCTGCCCTTGCTCCACATGCTGCTGCTGCTGCTGCTGCTGCTGCTGCACGGCCGTCCTCTCATCGCGCTCGCGGCTGCGGCTCATCCCCCTCCCCGCCAGCGCTGCTGCTGCTGCTGCTGCTGCTGCTGCTGCAGACGTCGCCGCCGCCCGCGCGTCTGGGGGCTGTGGGGGGCGCAGTGCTGTCTTGGCTTTCTGCTGCTTCCGAAACAGCAGCAAAAGCTGGCCTGGGGGGAGAGCAAGGCAGCCGCGTGCTGCAGTCCGTTTCTTCCGCCATTCGCAGACACCAGAAGCAGCAGCTGCACCCCCTCAGCAACAACCCTTCCGTGCGGGCTCCTGCTGCTGCTGCTGCTGCTGCTTTCGTCGTGCTGCTGCTGCTGCTGCTGCTGTTTTCGTCGTGCTGCTGCTGCTGCTGCTGTTTTCGTCGTGCTGCTGCTGCTGCTGCAGTAGCAACGGGGCTTCGCAGGGAAGCTCCGTGATCCTGCAGTGCATGCAGTGTTTGCATGCTGCACCCTCTGCTGCTGCTGCTGCTGCTGCTGCTTCTGCTGCTACAGAATGACCCGAACAGCTGCGCGAGTGGCGCCGGCTGGTGCGCCATAGTCGACGACGTGCTGGAAATGAATTCGGACAGAAGGGCCTGTAAGGGAAGAATTTGCTGCTGCTGCTCTGCTTCTTGCTGCTGTTGCTGCTGCTGCTGCTGCTGCTGGCTGTGCTGTGGCGTCCGATGCCATTGCTGCTGCTGTTGCTCTGCGGGGACTGCTAACGCCCTGCTATCAGTGGCCTGTTGCTGACGCGTCATTGGCTGTGTCTCAGTTGTTCACGCCTTTGCTGCTGCTGCTGCTGCTGCTGCTGCTACAGTTATCGAGATGGAGTTGAACATGCTGCAGCAGCAGCGGCCACTACCTCCGCAGCCGGCGCCCGTGGGATCGTGCGATCCCGTGTGGCGGCGGCTGGACGAAGCAATGGAGTTGCTGTCGCAGCGGAAAGCAGCAGGAGCAGCAGTAGCAGGAGCAGCAGCAGCAGGAGCAGCAGCAGAAGGAGCAGCAGCAGGGCCAGCAGCAGCCAGAGGCTTCGAAGCTGCTGCTGCTCCCTCCCTCTCTCCCGTGTCTTCTGCGTCGACAACAGCGTGCAGATCAGTTGCTTCC